GATGGTCTGACAAAAAAATGTTCCCTATCGAAGTTAATCAGTATTTAATTCACAAGAAATTACAGCTGCTTAAATTTAAAAACAAATTGATTTTCGATAAAAAATTAAGATCAATGTTATAGTTTTAAATGAAACTAGGTATTTTTAACTTCATGCTTTTATTGTAAGTGAGTTTGTAAGATTGTTGAATTCGTCTATAATACTATGGAGTTAAAAATACCTAGTTTCATTCAAAAATGTAACAGCGATCTTAATTTCTTATCGAAAATCAATTTGTTTCTAAATTTAAGCAACTGCAATTTCTTGAAAGATCCTGAAAAATCGTGACTAATTTGTGCCTCACCCTGTATACCCTAATTAAAAGAAAAACTGCATTTTAACTGTCAACACAACGGATTCCAATAGAAATATGTGCAACGAATGTCGGTAAACCTAGCGTTAGAAAAGTAAAAAAAAAATTGAAGTACCTTGGAACGTTAAAGAAGAACAGTTTACTGTGTTTTACAGTTTTACGTTGCAAAAAATTTGCCAAAAACGAGTGTTACTCGCACGGTTTATACGAGTCTGTCCCCGCTGATGGCAATAAATGAACGAGGATGATCAGCAGAGTGCGGTTTCTTCGCACACAGCCGCGATTCGGGCACTCCCACAAACATGATCCTGTGGGATACGCGTAGAGGCTCGAGTGCTCGTCCCGCGTTGATTCACGCACCGCTAGTGTGGTACACGCACGCACGCACGCCACGAGCACAAGCGTTCGCCGCTTTGTCACGCGTGCGGTCGACTGTCTGCTCGTGCTTGTCTCTCGTCTCTCACCTAAGTTTATTGTTAGAGGGTTCGGCCGGCCGCGGACGTGCCACCAGGATTTAGTGCGTCTTGCACGGTCATACCGGTACCACGCGTCTTTCGATCGTTCCCCGAATCGATCCTCTCGAACAGTATCGTTCGAAATCGTTCGCGATATCAGTGATGAGTTTTCCAGTTTGGTGAATCCGGTGACAAGTGATACGATGCCAAATGGTACCGAAGGTAGAAGTGAAATCGCGAGCCGGAGGTTCGAGTAAATCATACTCATTTCGTTAAATTCTGTTTCCGTTCTCCTCTACCATTTCCATTTTGATTTGCTCGTCTATTCTCCATCGCGACACCGGCAGTAGGAAGTTTTAATTCCATTTCCCTCTTTTTCGTTCGCCGCAAAAAAACAGAGAAAAAAAAGAATCGCGATGTCCGCGACGGATATCGCGCGAAAGGGACTTCCGTTCTGTCGGATGACGGGGCGCTGCTTTCCACGGGACGCCGAATCGAGAATGAAAAACGTGAAATTAGGATTTCGAGGACATCGGAGTGCGCCGAACACGAAAAACCAATTGCTGGAGTGTACGTGAGAGCAGCCGGAGGGGGTTGAGCGGTATATAGAGGGATGACGACCTGTTTCGGCGGGGCGGCGCGCGACAGGGGAGTCAGGGCCAACGGGAGGGTGTGGGAGGGCAATGTAACAGTCATCCTTTGAGCAAACGCTATTGCGTCAAAATAGAAAATACCGAGCCTCGGGTATAAGTGAAATTTACGCGAGCAAAGCGTGCCAGCCACCATGACTATTGTTAACAAAGTCTCTTCTAATATTCTCTCTCAATACCAGACTATCAAATCGCTGCATCGATTTCGAGAGTGTCGTAAGATTCTTCCCCGTTGGATATCGAACCGATCGACGTTTGAAAGTATATAACCATCGCTCCATATTAACGCGGTGTATTCAACAAGTTTCCACGTTGCCGGAGGAACCACTCGTGGTATTATTTTTTTTTTTTACGCAAAGTATACGCCGACGGGGAACGAAGGGACACGCGACCCTCCAGATTTTTCGCGACGCTCGGTCTCGAGCGTTTTGCCACGTTTTAACGCCGTCTCTGGCCCCGGCATCCGCCGGCTAATACATCCTTAAACGTAGCCCACGCCACCATCCAGCACTCGTTCTCACTCTCTTTCATCTCCAAGGCTCTAATTAACTTTGGTAATTATGTGTACTCCCGGGCAGAAGGGCTTTGCGCACGTTCCGCTCGAAAGTGGGGGTGAGGGGGTGGAGAACGGAGGTTTTAAGGGGAACGATGCACGCGCGTGCGACCGGCACCGTGTCAGGCAAATTTTCGCTATAAATAGCGCGCGCGCGAGAGAGGAGATCTCGCGAGATTTGACAGCTCGTGACGAGCTACCGCTCCAACGGATGCCATTTCGCGAAAACGAGGGGTTCCCGCTTGTTCCTCGAGGATCTTTTTCACCGTAGCTGCCACGGAACGACGTTTATTCTAATATCAAAGGTAGCCGTGAGCCCGTCTCGAACAGCCTCCCCCGTCTTTTTATCGCTCGTACGTTCCCGGGAAACCCCGTGCTCCTAAGTGGACCGTGTACTTTCGGTTTTAAGCGCTACGATAAACGCGGACGCGTGTTGCGATCTTTTTATCATCTTTCTTCCAGTTTTATTACGTCCTCGTGAAAACGGAAAGCGCGCCGCGGCCAACAGAGACGGGCCAACAACTGTTTGCACATTGGATCCGAATTTACAACATTCAATATTCTTTTGGAGCTTCTTCAGACATATGCAGGCTCGCCAAAATATTCGAACGATGACATATTGCTGATTGAAATTGACACAAACCGTAAATTTGTGACGAAAGATGTTCATATGTGGATGAACATCTTTTTTAACACTTTACGGAAGCCGTCAATTTGACAGATGTCTGATTTCATATTTAAAATTGCAGAACGCGTAAATATTATTTTTTAACAACTTATGTTGAATTTGAACACTGGCATGAATGCATATTTTAATTAAAAGAAAAATCGTATTGTAAGGTAATCGTCAACATGAAAGGTATCAATAAATATACGTGCGATCAATGCCCGTAAATCTAGTGTTAACCCTTAAGTGGATTATTTGGGCAAGTTTAAACTAATAATTGTTTCAACTATTTGAAAATTTATGTAATTCTCCATTAATTTATTACTTTTCAAATGCTTTAAAGGAAAATTGATTTCCATTTACCAATTTGGTGAAAATCAACATTAAGTAAAATAATTCAGTTGTTGTACAACGTACACCGCACAGTACAGTAAATATTTTGAAATTGTAAATATCGCGTATGGGGAATATGCGAGAATAACATGGAATTTCATTGAAATCAAATAACACATACTCGAGTTGGAAAGTGTTCATTAGATTTAATAGCATATAGTAGAAGGTTAAAAATACATGACAGTACTATGAAGTTAAAAATACCTAGTTTAGTTTAAAAGTATAATAGTGGCCTTAATTTTTGATCGGAAAAAATTTGTTTTTAACTGCAATTTGTCGGTTGAATACTGATTAACTTCGATAGGAAACATTTTTTTCTCACACCATCGAAAGAAGCTGAAAAATCGTGGAGACCAATTTGTGTGTCATCCTGTATACCCTAATTAAAAGAAAAACTGCATTTTAATGCAACTGCCAACACAACGGATTACAATAAAAATATGCAAATAACACATATTCGAGTTAGAAAGACTTTATCAGATTTAATGGCATATAGTAGGTCACGAAAGTATTTGAACTGTAAGGGCAACCATCGTATTAATAATATTGCTCAGTTCATACACAGTTGGTCTAAGACAAACACTGTTCAAATCTTGCGTCGTAATTTATTTTAAATTGAATTTTTGCAAAATGAATCGGAAAAAGTCAGAAAGAGAACTGATAGTAAAATGGTACAAAGAAGGAAAATCTATGAATGAATAAACAGGAATAAATCCACTGTTCGCTATATTCTTACAAAATTGTAAGTCAAGACACGGTTTGTGTCAATTTCAATTATGAATATGTCACCAGTCGAACACTTCCATGAGCCTGTGTATCTCTCCAGAAAAATTTAATAGAAGCAATCCTATTTATATTATTTTCAAACGCATATTACGTTTCTATTTTGCACAAGTTTCCACAAAGTCGAAAAACGAATCTACGATTCGCATTCACGGTCCAACCATCGCAACGACATCGGACCAAAAACCAGCAGCCCCACATTATTATCGTTCAATTTCCGTTACAGTTTAGTTTCAATTAACTCCGTAACATTTGTGGTAAATTAAATTTAAACATACCCCGAACGTTCCCGCCATTTAATATTTAATATTAAAACATCCTGCTGCCTGGTTTACCTTTCGAGCAAAGAACAGCAACGTGCGTTTAACCTTTTCGCACTGCTGGACGAGATACTCGAATACACGCTTTTCGTGTAACGCGAACGGGTTAAATACCGATTCTTTATCCTTCAGAATATTTCGTTAGCTCCTGGTATCGGGTGTTCCATCGCTGCGAGATACCAACTCGATGGTGATGCGTTATTAAGAGATAAAAATGCAGTTAAAAACAATTGCCACGGGAAGACCGTTTCATCCTCGAAGAACTCCAGCGATGAAAGCTGCAAGATTCTCGGGTCTATCCAGCGGCTGTCGCCGGTGAATGCGTTCTTAAGTAAACGAGGTGTTATCGCGCAGCCCTTCCGCAGCCTGGGCCGTTGCGAAAACGTCACGCGTTAACACACCTATCGCAGCTTCCTCTTCTTATCCGCGGGTCTCGCGCTTATCTACGATCGTTTCGCGGGAACGAACCGAGCAGTCGTCGTAAATAAACCCCTGACCGCGCCCGTGGAGCGAAAAGCTTGGCCAAGTGCACGGAACGATCGAGTGCAAAGTGTTCGCTGAGATTCTGTGTTCGCGACGAGCCGACGAGTGAAAGCGTTCGAAAGTTTGACGGGTTCGGCGGTCTGCTGAAGTCTGCGTTACGTGTGAACAGGCCGCAGGGAAGGAAGGAAGGAAGGAAGGAAGGAAGAAAGGAAGGAAGGAAGGAAGGAAGGAAGGAAGGAAGGAAGGAAGGAAGGAAGCCGCCCGAGGAGGCGTTATTAAAGTTTCCCCCCGATCCGGGTGTAACGTTCGCGTTTACGTGGCCGGTACGAAAACTATGAGGCACGATGATGGGTCTAAGAATCGGTGGCCTGCCGAGTGAGAAAATGCTGGACTTCTGCCAAGAGCCGCGTCATGGTTGGACAGTGTTGCTGCTGTTATACTTGGGTGTCTGCTCCTTGCTGCCTATCGCCTGTTTCACCGGTTAGTATACTCGATATCGTCGCTTTCTACTTTTTATTTTCCTACCATCCACTGTTAGGTTCGGTGCACGTCGTAGCCAAGGATTTCATCTGTTTCATTCCATACGGAAACGTTGAATAAAATATCTGCTTGTGTTAAAAGTCTACGTTATGTTATTGGCCTCGCTAGGTTTTCGTGAGTGATTTTTTTCACGTCTCGTTGCACGCAGCCCTGATTCCGGTTACTCCATTAGCCGCGTCTGGCTCGTCAGAGTTTCAGCGTTCCAACGACGCGAACGTTCCCGATGTTTTTCCACGCTTTCCACGGGTAAAATTCAAGACGAAACATTCGACGTCTCCGTGTTCGATATCGGCATTTTTTCGTACGAATGATTATCCGCGTAGGCGCATTGAATAGAAACGCCGGCGAAATGGGAATAAACCCAACGACTCGTCGTTTCTCGTTGTTTCGTCGACGACGAAAAAGAACGGATCGACGACGACGCGCGATTCCTCAACGCGGAAACCGCGGAAAGTTCCCTGCATTTGTTTCTCGATATGAACTGTGACGGTCCCACCTGAGAAATGAACCGCCATGAATCACGACACGCTCATCGAGTCTGCCATGGTTTCAATTTTACCAAACTTTTCTCACAAATCGTCGGTCCGTGGCTAAGCGTCGTCGTCGCCGTCGCCGTCTCAGTCTTTAAAGAATTCTTTTAAACCCCCCTCCTCCACCTACTCGCCTTTCGCGACACGGCGTCAATTTTAGAACGAGCGAAAACTTTTTTTGTTCTTCACGAAATAAAAGCTACTTGCGTAACGATAACAAACGCGACAGGGAAATATTCATGGACTATCGTGCTCAAAGATTCGTCGGTTTTCTGTGAAAGAATGCTAGATATTATTTTTATTGCAATTTTTTATAAACTACTATACAATATACGAGCCAATCAATTTACTACTATCGCGAAATTATTTCTATATCAAATCGATCGAGCACGATCGAGCCAACTGTAAGAGCATCGAAATTCGTTGCTTTCTGAAATTGAAACGAGCATGAAGCTTCAAAATCCCAGCGTGCACGCAAACAAAGTTTGTTGCAAACGGTCACGGCGGTGGGAATTTCGATCGAGCGTCATTCGATCGATTAATTCGAACGAAGTATTGACGGTACGTTCTCATATTTTCCCCTCGAATCGGTTTTCCGGCGGAGCCAACAATTCGCGTCCCAGTCATCGAAATTCCCGTTCGTCGTCAATTAACTGTGTTTCGCGTTCCAATCTGACGCTCGATAATTAATGTAGAGAATTTTAATCAACATCGTGCCCGATCCGGTGAATTCGATTGAACGCGGACACGCGTTAACGAACTACGAGGGGCCTGGCGATTGGGAAACTCATCGTCACGGCGATAAGTTTGTCGTTCGAAAAGCTCGAACAACAGGAGGATCCCATTTTCGTGCCGCGAGACAATACGAGGCGCGTTTCTTTTAAAAATAGATCGATGAACGGCTTTCCATCGACGAAACTCGGATCTTCGCCGCGCTGGACGACGAATAAAGAACAAACTTAACGCCGAACGATACGAGTAACTTAAACGTTTCTTTCCTAAGGATATTTCTATTTTAAACCCAAAAATAATAAAATAATGAATAATAATTTATTCGATAATCTCGTTTAGGTAGAAGAGCGGGGCGGTGGTAGCACTTTGGACGTTTGTAATGGAAATTGCGAGTCGTATTAACAATTACCTCGTAATTGTCTGCGAAAACCAGACGACGGATTTGCGAAGCAGAATTACATTTCTGTCGCGATATTCCATTACACGAATGTCACTCTGGTACCCAGCGCTCTATCGCGGATCCTCGCCATTGTAGTTACTACGGGCGCTTTGTTGCAATTTTGACGATTTAGTCGTGCGGTCGACCGTAAAATTGAATTTTTACTTAAAAAGCCCGAGCGCGCTGCTTTGTTCCTTGAGAAATTGTCCCCGTTTGACGACCGTACCGTTCGTCGGCGCTTTCAATTGTTTGAAAATTACGTATCACGCTGCTGTTGTTTGTTTACTCGACTCCCCGTACCTCGCTGATAAACGATTCCCTTGTTCGTCGTTTAAGAGACGCGGGCATGAAAAATAAATTCACGGAATGCGACAAGGGTCGAGGGATAAGAAAAAGATTGTACTTTGATACGAACTCTTCCGACTCGAATAGTAGGACGAGGCCAATTTTGCCCTCGCTGGCAGAAATGCATGAATTATGCACTTGTTGAACGATCAGCCACTCGAGTGGATACTAAGCCCATTGACATTCAAAAATCTATTATATTGTTCCAATTTCTTTTGGAGCGTGAAATCATTCCCTTTTCGATAACAGACCAATTCACAGTCGATATCGTAACTTGATAGAAACTGGATGTATCCACGTTTTCGTTACTTTAAATCTCCTTTGAGATTCGAATGCTTCGATAAAAAACAGAACCTTGCTTCGCCTTTTCATCGACGTTTCCAAAGGTTAAATTATTTCAAAGGCGTCGAGAGCCTTCCAATTTGTCCAGATTTTGTTTTGTAAAAAGAGAGGAGGAATTAAGACCGCCTGTCTGTCTTCGTTTCCATGTTCTTTCGAGGAAACACTCGCTTTATGACACGCACGTGCTGCCATAAAGGTCTGCACACGGTCGAGCCAGCGCACACTAACGTGCTCGTACGGCTTCAGCAATCCCAAATGTGCCAGGCTGCATAAGTACTTCCGTTAAATCTGTGTCAGAGAGAACACGGACGACAATTTTTTCTTCGTCGCCGTACCCTTCGCGCCTCATACATCTCTAGCGTCCTAATCTGAATTCTTTTTCGTATCAAGCTGAGCACAATTAAAAGATACGATCCAATTAAAACGTTCGCATGTGCCCGGTAATTACGCCGATAGTAAACCTACGAGGATTTAATTAAATCGGAAGCTTGGTACAACCAGAAACTACCCTTCCTTTTAATTTCGATGCTTAAACGTGTTTTCACCGAAAAGGTAAACAAAAAAAGTTCGAACTCATTTTCAATGCTTTTTGTTGCATCCGCAATACCGTGTAAGATGTAATTTTTTAGTCCAGACAGATTTTAAGTCCAGCTCCCTTACATGTATGCTTTCAGTTTTTTAAAAATATTGTAGTAACAGACGTGTCAACAGAGTCGTGTTTTTTAATCTGAGGTTGTTATCGATTTGCTTTTACATGTGCATAGCAAAGAAATATTTGCAAATTTAATTTAATTTTTAGCAGATTTTGTTATTGTACGTGTTTGCTGTGAAAATATTTGTGAACGGAGCAGCGTACACGTATTGGCGGTAGCGAACAATCAAAATAGACACCGTTTTATTTATATAAATGCAATTTTTCTGACATTAAGTGAGATTGAAAATAACACGTTTGGATCATTGAAACGGTGTTACAAATTTTTGAACAACCATAACGAGATGACTGCACGGTTCAGAGTAAGTTCAGAGTTTTCCCGAAACACATAAAAGACGCAGATGTCGTGTACGTGCCAAGAAGAAAATACGATTTGCTACTTTGTATGTATCTCAAGTACAGGTTATTCGAGTTTATGTATCGATAACTGATTTGAAGTACAGCTTGTATCCTCCCTCGGTCTACAAAACGTTCGATCTTCCTTTTATATAAATTTTGATCGGAGAATTCAGATACCTTCCGATCGGGTAAGAAAAAAAATTCTCTTCCAGGAAGATGATTTCACAAATTGTTCAATAAGTAATAATCCGGTAGCAAGAGAAGCGCATCCTTCGTTCCTATTAGATTTAATCAATTTTCTACCAGCGTCGTATTTGACACGTGTGATCAAGCATTATCACGTTCGTTTTAGTTGACGATAATAAACTTTCATATAGATGGATTGGATCCCAGCTGCTCGAAATGGATCGTTCCTTCCGTAGCCTGCCAAAGAGAGGTAAAAATCTTTCGTGGATGATTGCCTGTGACGTGAACGCGTGTTCTCGACATGCACAATGCGTTAAAGATTCATATATGTTTGTAAGAATTATGTCGAAAAGGGGTATGTTTAGAGGAAAACTGGTTACTCGATATTGTCTGTAGCGTTTACACGCCCCCAGGCACGCGGTGTGCGATATTAATTGCTTTCTTGAACCGAGTGCCACATTCGAGCTAGTCCGCGAACTAAACATCTGGTTTCAACGGCGTAAACAGTTGCGTCCAAACCCGGCCTCGTCGTTCTCAAACGGGAACACTGAGCTAAAACAGTGTTCCAGCCTGACTGCACAAATAATCGTACGACTGTACGGACTCTTTTGACACGCGACTTCTTCAAACACCGTGTTCATTACTCGTCAGTTAGCTACGCGGAAGTTTCTTTCCGAGTGAAACTTTTATAAATTTTATTTTATATGGTTGAAATTCGATTCCAGTAGGACCACGTACAGGTTTTCGTTTAATGCGTCGAGATCACAGGAAATATGCAAATTGTCCTATTTACAAGTTTAATCATTTTTCAACGAAGTTTGGGGTTATGCAGCATCGTTTAAAATTCAGAAAAACCTAACGTGTTTTTACCATACCCCCTAACGGCACGCAACTGTAACTATTTATACGTAAATAATGGAAGAGTCACGTTCGCGAAACTCTTATCCTTGTCAGTTTAGGGAAATTAGTTTGGTAAAAAACTTTCGTACCGCTACATATTTAATTTTTTACCGGTTGCTCGTAAAAACTTCGCCGTATTAAATTTAATGCGTCACGCTGAGAAATTCAAGTGCATTCAAAATACGCGCGCGAGAACTTGTGGAACGCGGCTACGTCGAAAGTCGCGCATTACCGATGCTTTCAGAATATTTTACGCTGTTGCGCTATCGCAATTTGCATACGTACGAAATTTCGTGGAAAACCTACGGGTCCCAAGGAAAATTAACGGGGATACGCGCGCCCTAATATACACGTAACTTCTCATCTGCAAACACTATCCATCCATCTAGTACGACCCTTGCCATACTTTAGACTT